ATAAAATTGTTGGGTGGAGCTGGTTAGAAGTGTAGCCTTAGTAGAGTAGGTTTGTCACTCGAGGTGAGCTGTGAGGTTTCAAAAGGCCACACAATGCCCAATTAGCATTATCTGTCTATCTATAGGCTTGGGGATCAGATGTTCCACAACAGAAGTTCATAACTACTGCTTCAGCGCCATGATTGCCTACCTGCTTCCATGTTTCCTGCCTTGATGGTTAGAGATTCAACTACTCTTTGAAACAATGAGCCCCAAATCAAATGCTTTCTTCTATGGGTTGCCTTGGTCATGGTATCTTAGCATGACGATACAAAAAAGCAAGACAATTGACAAACCAAGTCTAGAACCAACCTGTGGGTAGAGTGGCTTCCACCCATATTGTTTTTTAGATATTTCCTCATTTTATAACTTCCTCTCCTGTTCCTAGAGCCTGCTACCTTTCTATTCAGTGTACTTTCAAATGCTGATTCTTGGATTTAAACAAATGGTGGCCTGTGGCCTTTTAAAACACCCATCACAGTGTCCTAATTCCACAAACCCCTCTCAAGAATTGTTCATAATTTCCTAGGTGCTAGAAAATGCAAAGGCTGGCATTTCCCATGACAACATAGACATGGCTGACTTAACCTGAAATTACATAAGAGCCGGGGGCACTGCTATAGGGAGTGGGCAAGGCAAAAAGAGTCCATATGCCTTTTAGGTAGCTTGAGTAGAGGCAGTGAGTCACTGTGTTGGGGGAAGCTGTTTTAGTTTCAGATACGGTTGTGTGGTATTAGGCCAATGTGGCCAAACTGCTGGCCTCAGCAGTGAGTATTGAACTTAGTTGCAAGGAGCATAAAACCCCTCAGCAAGGGTTTACTTGAGGAAACAGCCATGATTTCTCTCTTTCATTCAATAGAAAGAAAGAAGCAGGCGTCTTTTTTACACTAAGTCACATTCACTTAGAGCTCACTAGCTAGATGTTAGTGAAATAGCCTCAACAAGATGCAAGGCAGGCTGAGGCCTACCGCCTTTCACCTGAGGTATCTTAATAAAAACATGTATTCTCTCATTCAAGGAGATAGTGCAGAGGGGTAGTAGGTGCTCTGTTTTATTCCATCACTATCTTTGGGACGTTGGGTAAGAATTTCCTGCTGGAAATCTACCCTCTGTAAAAGAAGGTTGTTAGTATGCCACACACACAACACATATTATATGAAAGAGATTTATTGGGTGGAGGTAGAGAAATAAAGAGGGAAAGAAGAGACAGACATAGTGGGGGTAGGCAAGGAAAGAAAGTGAGGCAGAGAGAACAAGAGGAGAGAGTAAGAGAGAGAGAGACAAAGTGGCAGGTCGGTCCTTTTATAGCCTGTGCCTGTGCAGCTGACCCACATCTGCCATACACCTGGTGGGCGACACATGATGACATCATAGGTTACTAGGCAACCCAGAAGCAAGCTGCCTATACGCTAACAAAGGTAATATTTATTGTCTTGGTTTATTTTCCCATTGCTGAGATAAAAAATCCTGACAAAAACAACTTAAGGCAGAAGTGGCTTATTCTGGCTCACAGTTCAAGGGTATATAGTTCATAGTAGAAAGGGTATATAGTTCATCAAGGCATCAGTATGAGCCTGAAACAACAAGACATATTGAATCCACTATCAGGAAACCAAATGACTTCAATATGTGTGTGTATGTGCTTAGCTCATTTTCTCTGTTTCACAGAGTCTTGCCCAGAGAAGTCTTGCCCACAATTATTGCAGGGTTCTTTCTGTCTCTATCTCTATCTTTATCTTTCTCTATATCTGTGTCTTTCTGCCTGTCTCTGTCTCTCTTTCTCTCCCTTTTTCACCTCTCTCTTGTGTGTGTGTGTGTGTGTGTGTGTGTGTGTGTGTGTGTATGTGTGTTTCTTGTTTGTGGTTTAAGACATGAGATCTCAGCTTGCTTTTCCAGCCTGTGACTACCTGCTCTTATACCTCTGAAACCATAAGCCCAAATAGACCTTCGTTCTATACATTGCCCTGGTCATGATGTGCTATTCCAGAAATTCAAAAAAAATCTAGTGAATTTGTTGTAGCCGCAAAACAAACCAACAGGCAATTGATAATAATAATAGCTACTGAAAACACTCTATGCAGAGACCTTGAGGGATAGCTGAGAGAATTCCCCAAACAGAAGGAATGACCAGACTGGGAGGTCAAAAATGAGCCATGAGGCCTCTGTGGCTGGCATAAAAAGAGAGGTGAACGAAATAGCAGGAGAGTCCAGGGCCAGCACATATGGAGATGTGCATGCCATTCAGCCCTTATTTTTTCCCTAAGAATGATGGGAAGACACTGAGCTAATATTTAAATATCCCCAGAAAGCTTCCAGGCTCGAAGTGTTGATCCTTCCCCACCTACTCTAACTTTCCTCTAGTATAACTTTCTTCATCTCACTAACAGGCACTTCTATGTGCTTACTTGCTGGTCCTGGCATGTCTCTTTTCCATCCCAACTCTAAACTCCATTTGACATAAGCTAACTTTTACATAGTAGTTGGTCTTCCAAATCAGGTGGCTGAATCTCAGCTCAAAGGTAATTTAGAATGGAGGTAGATGGTAAACGGAAGAGCTACTTCCCCCCCCCCAAATATTTACCTCCTGACCTTCTGAATCTGTGACTATATATTATATGACAAGGGGGCTAGAGATTAAAGTAGTAAACAGAACTGTAGCTGTAGAACATGTGACCTTAAAATTAAAAGGTATCCTGAACTATTTGGGGCATTCCAATTCAAATGTAGATTTTTAAATGGAGAAGGGGAATAAGACTCAGAAGCAGGGGTAGTATTGTGAGAGAAGCTCCATGTGGGGTTAAGGGAAGTCAATGGTGGCCCCAGAGAGTTGGGTTTTGAGCTAGTAAGAAACAGCAAGACCAGAATGGATGCAGCCCTTAGTAACTGGAGAAAACATGAAATCAGAAACTCCCTGGTAGTTTAGAAAAGGGCAGAGCCCTGGCAATACCTGAAGTTGGTTTGGGGGTCTGAGCTCTAAAACTGTTAGTTTTGGGTAATGCTTTATCACAACATTCAGAAAACAATAGAATGCATAGTTTTATTTGAATCTCGATTTTTCTTCAGGGAGTCCTATCTTGGTAAATGGTGGATGCTTCAGCCATTTATTCAGGGTAGAAATAGGTGCTTCCTTTGTGCCTTCTTCTCGACATGCAGCCATCTGTGACAACATCAGGTTCTCTAGATCTTCAACACTAAGTCATTCACTGTGCCCTGCCCCAACTCATATCATCAGCCTCAAGACCATTCAGAAGAATAGAGGGAAGCGGTTCTGTCCCACCAGCCACTCTCCGCGGAACAGCAAGAGTGAAATCTCCAGTCCTGAAGATTTCATGTGTTTAGACCTCTCCTCAAAACACTGCTGTGACTTGCTTTTTCACACAGTCGGAGCTTCTTTACAATCTGTTAGGTTCTCCAACGCTTATCTATTTTCAACCATAAACCCAATACTTGTCCTCGTAATAAATTTCTTTTAATGTCCTGGAAAGATTCCCTCCAGTGCTGGGGATGGATTCCGGGTCTCCAAAGCTCCAATTTGGCTGTAATTAACACTCCATTTTCATCTATCTTTGAGTCTTGGATTACTCCCTTCACCTGTACCAGGTCTGCTAAAGAGCTAGCACCCTGACTTCAGGACCTTGGTCTTTCAGTCCAATATGATCATCACAGTAATTAGTGTTTATTCCCCATGAGAGCAGTTTTTACTGAACTCTTTCACTATGCTACTTCTATCCTAGCACAGAGCAGGGGCTTAGTAAATACTCGTTTGCTAATGATCTATCACCAGAGCAACAGATTAATATTGTTGAAATCTCTACAGTGTTTCCTCTGACATTTCTAGTAGCCATTTTCTGGGAAGTCTGTATTACATACTTCGCATTTTGTCCCTATTACCAATTTTTATATTCTTGATATGGTTCTTTTTTGTCTTTGAAATGTGCAATAAGTTGTAAGATAATATTTTTTCTTTCTTTTTATAATTGTTTTTGCATTCTTTGTGCTACTTAAATATCATTTAATAATTACTTATTGAGCCATTTCAGTGTGCCAGTCATTAAATCCTGAAACTAGAGTAAGTAAAAAATAAAAACAGAGCAAATTGTTTTTACTGAAATTTCATTTTAGCATGTTCATAGAGTAAGGGAAGGTCAGAAAGTAAACAAAACCACAGTATTAAGCAGTACAGCAACCCTTCTTTACTTGAGATTTCACTTTTTATGTAGCTTAAATCGACTAAGGTTCAAAGCTGTTAAATCAAAATTTCTAGAGAGAATTGCCAAGTTTAAAATAACTGTAATAATCTAGTGTTACACTTCCATTAATGTCATACTGCGTCTAATTTATATGTTCATATTTTTATGTATAGGAAATCCAGGGAGGTATCTGGGGTCGGGTACGCTGCAATTTTGGACTTACTTTGGGGTCCTCCTTATGAGGGGTTATTGCTGTACTTTCACTATCAGAACACAGTGCATGTGTATAGTTGCGTTACTTAGAGAAATTTCGAAAATATTCTAGCAGGAATCAAAAGTAATCCCGGGATAGGGTTCTTGTTACAAAGAAGCATGAAAGAACAGAAATCATATTTTCTGCCTTTCAACAACAGATTGCTCGGGCAAGGTACATGCAGCTGACAAGTAGTTCAAACCCTCTCAGCCTGCATTTTACCTGTCAAAAGACAATAATTAGACACGCCTCATAAATTTGGTACAAGAAAAAAAAAAATGCTCTGCAAGAACCCAGCACAAAAGCGGAAAACACTTCCAAACACATAATTTAGGGCAAGACTATACACAGACAGGACTCTGGGAAAGCCCGCCCCATCCAGCACTGGTACCGCCCCCTGGGCAGAACTCTACTGATGATTGGGTAGTCCCATGTCCGTCTTGCGCGTAGCCCAATCGTGTCAGGCGTGGCGACATGCTCCCGGGTCTTCCGGTAGGACGTTTGCGTCGCGGCGGGCGGAAGCGGCGCCGCTTGTTTGAAATCGGCGGCGAGGGCTCCAGCCGGGCTCGAGCCGCTGGGTGCCATGTCCACCCCTCCGCTGGCGCCCGGGGGCATGGCGTCCGGCCCCTTCGGCGGTCCGCAGGCGCAGCAGGCGGCGCGCGAGGTCAACACGGCCACGCTGTGCCGCATCGGCCAGGAGACGGTGCAGGACATCGTGTACCGCACCATGGAGATCTTCCAGCTGCTCAGGAACATGCAGGTGGGCGCCTGGAGTGAGAGAGCTGGGGAAAGGGGGACTTCCCGGGCGACCTCTGGGTGCCCGGGTCGCCTCTACCCCCAGGTCCTCATCCTCTGTCTGCCCCTTGCCCTGGGAGACCTGGCGTCCCACCCCCTTACTCCTGTCCTGAAAAACTTCGGTGGCCGTCCCCCTGTCCACCCATGTACACAGATAGCATGTGTCTGTCCCATACCCTGGAAAACCCTCAGGCATGGACACACCCCCTTACACAGTGTCCCCAGCATGCATCTAGCCCCTGAGCAGGTGAACACCCTCGTACACCATATGTCCTCCAGGATGAGTCTGCCTCCTGGCCTGAGCGATTCCAGACGCGGTCACCCCCATTTTCCCCAGCACTTTACCCTTGCATGCGTCTCTCCCCGACCCCAGGTGACTCCTGGAGTGGCTATGCCCATTACCCCGAGAAGTGGCACCAGCAGATGTCTGCCCAGCCCCAACTATCCCAGGAGTCATCAGGTGTGGTCACCTTTACCACCAGACCCAAAGTATCCCCAGTATGTGCCAATCCCCAAAGATCGTGGGCTTAGTTGGTGGTGGTATTGAAGGCACCTTTCCTAGACTGGACCGAGTTATGCAGTTGTTTTATAAACTTTGTGTTTTTCAAAGGTATAAATACACCGTGCTTGCCTTTTAGGATATAACATTTTTAGAGCAAATGCCCAGAAGTTGAAGAATTCAGACAATAGTTGTAACCCTTTCTAGGCGTACCTAGATTACAGTAAGCTCTACTAATGTAGAGTTTTGACATATTTAGGAGTATACTTGTGACTTAGTCATAGTCACAATAGTGAAAATAGCCTTTACCCAAAAAGTTTCTTTACACCCCTATGAATCGTTTGCCTCCATTCCTTGGAGCCACTTGTTAGCATGTCCCAGTTTTACATGCTAGGAATCACATAAAGCATGTGAGCATTGTAGGACAAGGTTCTTTTATTTTCTTTTTTTTAATTGAATTTTATTTTATTAATTATACTTTATTCACTTTGTATCTCCCCATAAGTCCCTTCCTCCTTCCCTCCCAGCCCTACCCTCCCTCCCCCTTCTTCACCCATGCCCCTCCCCAAGTCCACTGATAGGGGAGGTCCTCCTCTCCTTCCTTCTGATCTTAGTCTATCAGATCACATCAGGAGTGGCTGCATTGTCATCTTCTTTGGCCTGGTGAGGCTGCTCCCCACTCAGGGGGAGGTGATCAAAGAACAGGCCAATCAGATTATGTCAGAGGCATACTGACTTTTTATTAATTACACTTTATTCATTTTGTATCCCCCCATAAGCCCCTCCCTCCTCCCCTCCCGATCCCACCCTTCCTCCCCTTTCTGCATGTATGCCACTCCCCAAGTCCACTGATAGGGGAGGTTCTCCTCTCCTTTCTGATCTTAGTCTATCAGTTCTCATCAAAATTGGCTGCATTGTCCTCTACTGTGGCCTGGTAAGGCTGCTCCCCCCTCAGGGGGAGGTGATCACAGAGCAGGCCAATCAGATTATGTCAGAGGCAGTCCCTCTTCCCATTACTATGTAACCCACTTGGACACTAAGCTGCCCTGGACTACATCTGTGCAGGGGTTCTAGGTTATCTCCATACCTGGTAATTGGTTGGAGTATGAGTCTCTGGGAAGACCCCTGTGTTCAAATTTTCTGATTCTGTTGCTCTCCTTGTGGGGTTCCTGTCCTCTCCAAATCTTACTATTTCCCACTTCTTACATAAGGTTCCATGCACTCTGCCCAACTGTTGGCCATCAGGCTCAGCATTTGCTTTGATAGTCAGAGGCCCTCTGCGGCAGGTTTCTAGGTTGTTTCCTGTTTTCTTCTTCTGATGTCCATCCTCTTTGCTTTGTGGGATGGGGATTGAGCATTTTAGTCAGGGTCCTCTTTCTTGATTAGTTTCTTTAGATGTACAGATTTTAGTAGGTTTATCCTTTGTTATATGTCTATATGAGTGAGTATATACCGTGTGTGTCTTTCTGCTTCTGGGAAAGCTCACTCAGGATGATCCTTTCCAGGTCCCACCATTTACCTGTAAATTTCATGATTTCCTTATTTTTCATTGCAGCATAATACTCCATTGTGTAGATGTACCACCATTTCTGCATCCATTCTTCAGTTGAGGGGCATCTGGGCTCTTTCCAGCTTCTGGCTATTACAAATAAAGCTGCTACAAACATGGTTGAGCAAATGTCTTTATTGTGTACTATTTGGATATATGCGTAGAAGTGGTATGGTTGGATCTTGAGGAAGCACTATTCCTAGTTAGGACAAGGTTCTTTTAGTGTATATTTACATGCCATTTCTCTATTATTTTGTTGAATGAATACGTGGCAGCTTTTGCATTTGTACATCTATGGGTTCATGTTTGGGTTGTTTTCACTTTGAGCCCTTATAAACAGTTCTTCCCTTATAAATAATGTCAAAGTTTGTTTTTCACAGACTTTTGTGTAGGCATTTATTTCGGGTGGTTTCAGAGTGTAATAATTGAATCCCAAATATATCTTTAATTTTTTTTTTAATAAAGCTGATCTACCTGAGTTTCCATCCCCAAGCAGTTTCTGAGGGTTCTAGTTTCTCTCGTCTTCATCATTTGTTACTGTTTTACTTTGCCAGATACTTCTGTCAGTCTGTGGCCCTCACTTCCTTTAATTCCAAACAGTTTTTGAAGAGCAAACGTTTTATGATTTTGGTGGGACCCCCTTGTTGATTTGTTCTGTAGATCTTGCTTTTGGTATCAAACTTAAAAATCTTTTGTGTAACCCAAAGTGGTGAATGTTTTCTCTAGAAGTCTTTGAGTTTTCCCCTTCTTTATAATCTGTCTTAATTCTGGAGGGATGGTTCTGGCGATCAGTTTGGGTCTACATTCATCTTTTTGCATCAGATATCCAGGTTGTTGGGGTACAGGTTGTAAGTCGTTATTTGTTGACTGCCCCAAAGCTACGTGGTATGCTATAATTGAAGCATGTCTTAAGACTCTTAGCAACTTTTACTTCTACAGATGTCCCAAGGAGTATTTTATTGCTTTTGTTTAAGAAAAGATGGTTGGGATTTTCGTCTCTCATTTTTGTAAAAGTGATTCTTTTTTTGTGGAAATCTTTTAGTACTGTGTCAGTAACTCAGTGTAAAAATGTTATACAAAGAGTGTATCATTATGAATGGACTCAGAAAATTGAAATTCTTTGGCAGTTTCAAGTGAATAGATTCAGAACGAAAATGAGTGGAGTGTAGATTACGTGATTCTCAGAAGTAAGCATGCCCTGTATTTCTTTCTTTTACACTGTTAGCACCCAAATTAGAGGGTGTAGAAACAGGTATGGTCGCAATCACAAAACACTTATCAATCGCTTTCCTTGGCCAGGCACATGACTGTAAGAACAGTTTCAGGAGGTATTTTTTATTCCTGTTTTATAGTTAAGGAAACTGAGGATTAAAGAGAGGGAGTCAAGGATCTACCATCACAGATGATGCTAATAACCTGTTGCTGCAGCACTTGAGTTCTTGAGTCACCTGTACTACTAAGAGAGATTGAACTCAACTCCATCACCCACACATGAAGAGACTTTTTCTGAAAGTTCCTGCCCATAACTGGGCTCCAGGTAGGCCTGTTTTTTCAAACTGATTTATAAGGGCTGCAACAGTTACATGTCTGCCTTTCACTTTGGGCTCAAAGTCATCTCCTACCTTTTAGGGGACAGTCCAGTGATCCTAAAAGGCAACAACAGTGTGACCCTTGAGTTCCAAAAAGCAGAAGTGATGATGGAAAATATATTACTTGAACAACATGACTGTTCATTTTAACCATAGGCTGCTTGTCCATTCTCCAGTATCCATGGTTCATTGTGGCTATTTTCACAGTTGTGACTATAATGAAGTCACAATATATTCCTAAATATGTCAAAACTTTACATTAGTACAGTTTACCGTAATCTAGGATATCAGGGATATTTTAAGAAAAGGAATGCAGCAAGACTGTTTGTACCTAGCCTTCATTACAGCACACATTGTTCTGCTTTATTAATCTTGTACTTTGTCATAGTCTGTATACACAGGAGTAAACCCTGTGAACAGGGATCTCATGTCACAGTTTCTGGCATCTGCTGGGCAATGAGGCTTTTACCTGGATACCAGCAGGAGGGACTACTCGGTGCTCTTCAAAATACTCAAGTTTCAAAGCATTTGTCCACAAAAGGGAAGCAGCATAATTGCACACACTGCTATAGATACTTCTCGGATTTCCTTGAGAAAAACTGGTTCTTTGTGTAGTAGATGTCCTTTAGCTGCTCAAGATTCTGAAAACTAGATTTTCTTAGAAAAAAAATTAGTAAACACATTTTTGAAAAGAACATTTTCAAGGTGTTAAGAAGTATCTACCAAATATTACTGAATCCCAGATTAAGATTCCCTGTGGAAAATAGCATTGCTTTGATTATCCTTTTAATCTTATTTCATATTTTGGCTACATAATGTATTCATAATTTAGCAACAACAGTACATTGCAGTGAGCATTCTCCTTTCTATTCCCTGTCTGCTGGGTACCTAATGCCTCTCTGTAAGCAATGGTCGCTAATGATTCTAGCCACTGTTTATTCTCATGTTCTAAATGTTCTCTGCATATTTAATCAAACCTGTGTTTATGTTTTCTCTTCTCCCTTTTGCACAGATAACAGTATGATGTACATGCGATTTTGTACTTTGTCTTTTTCATTTGATATATTTCAAAATTTATTTATATGTATATAGAAAGTACTCCTTTTCTCTTTCTTTCTTTCTCTCTCCTTCCTTCCTTCCTTCCTTCTCTCTCTCTCTCTCTCTCTTTCTTTCTTCTTTTTTAATACCTTTATAGTATTCCACTGCATGGAAATACTCTAGTCAGAGCCTTTATACTGCTTTAAATGTCTCGCTCAATGATAATGCCCAACACAAAGGAGCAACTGTACCTGATGATGATGAAAACCTTTTAGAGTACCTAACTTGGACTAATCAGAGCTCCCAGGGGCTCCCAGAGACTCAAGTGGGGTCTGCACTAGGTCCCTGCATACACCCTGTGGTTGTTTAGCTTGGGCTTCTTGTGGGATTCCCAACAGTAGGAGAGCGTTGTGTCTGACTCTTTTCCCTGCTCTCGGAACCCCTTTCATCCTACTGGACTGCCTTATTCAGCCTTTCTATGAGGGTCTGTGCCTAGTCTTGTAACTCCTTAGGCCAGTTCAGTGAACATCCCTAGGATACATGCCTTTTTGTTGTTGTTTTGTTTTTCCGAAGGGAAAGGATGAAGAGTAGTTCTGGGGGCAAGGGGCAGTGGGAAGGGGGACTGGAGGACTGGATGGAAGGGAGGCTGTGGTTGGGATGTATTGTGTGAGAGAAGAATAAGAAAAAGAAAAACAAAGAAAGCTCACCCCACTCCTGTATTGGTTCAGTTACAGCTTCTTACAAATATATGTGACTGTGGATGTTGATTGTTTTTCCCCGCAGCGATATCATTGATGCCCCGGTGCCTTCTTCTCATACACTTATATTTTACGTTTTTAAATATTTTTTTATATTTTATATATTTTTATATATCAAAATAGGAGTTCTTTGTTTACTTTTCCACTACAGCTTAGATCCAGAAGAACCTGTTAGTGGTTTACTAGTGTCAGCCTAGACAACCTTGACGTTGTTGAGTCTTGGTAACCAAGAACATGGAGTGTCCTTTTCTCGTTTCGCATTTTTAGTTTCTATTTTTCTAAATTTATTCCTAGATAAGTTTTTATTATTGCTGTTGTAATAGGTTCTTGCTTTTCCATTTTTATTTTAGAGATAAAAGCAAAGCTATGATAACTTTCTGTTAATTTTATACTTAACTCCTTATAGCATTAGTTTATCGTTAGTAGCTTGTTATGACGTCACTTGTAAATAGTGATCACTATACTGCTTCATATTTAGTGTTTCAACCTTTCTCTCTTCAACCTGGCTGGCTCCCCTCCAGCAGAATGTATCAATGGTAACTGTGGTCTTAGTATATGTCTTTTTCTGTTCATGACCTTAGTGAGAACTCCTCCAATGCCTGCACATCAATCATGAGGCTGACTTTATAACCTAAATATGTTTTTCATATATTGGGAATTTTACTATAAGAATAGGTGATGAATTTAGTTGAATGCCTTTTTAGTATCTGGGAGTGTGATATATTTATGAGGGTTCATCCATATTCATGAGGGAGATGGTTATTGATGAGCTTTCCAGCTGAGTAGCTACGCCACAGCATGCAGCAAGGGATCTTAGGCACTATTACCATAAGTTCTATACAGTATGGAAGCCTCATCACTCATTTTCCCTGCCACTTCTGCATCCAGAGCAATGCTTGACATGCGAAAGGTAAGCAGTAAGCTGATATTGTATAAAAACTAATATCCAAACTCACTAAGTTGGCAGATTTCAGGTGGATAATTCTTTGCATTTCAACAAGATTGCTTTTCTTCATAATAAGACTCATCAATCTTTTTGTACCTGACACACACTTCTCATGAACACACAAGTATAGACTTGGGGGTGAAGTGCTTATTAAAATTATTCAGACTGTACACTAAAACTCTTGTGCCAAGTTTGTTACAAAGAGGAGTTCCAGTCTCCACTAAGTGGAGCATGTAGACAAAGTAGCAAACCCAGTAAGAGGCAGGATCCAGGAGCCGGTGCTTCTCTAAGTGAGATGTGGTCTTCACATCCCTTGTTATCGTTCAGATGGGAAAGTGGGGTTCTTTAACTGTTTCTCTGGATTATTGGTGCCTGTTAATGTCTGTAAATGAAGTTCTTAGGGGAAATTCTACACTGTATGGAAGCATGAACCCTTCTAGTGCCATCATATTTTAAAATGGGAACAAAACGCATTTGGTATTTATCACACTTCAGTGGAGCATTTTAAAGTATATTAATGCTAAGGATTCATAAAACTATAAATAATTCAGAAATGTCAAAAGATCTGTCTTCTGAGCTGAGAAACTGTAACGTTTATAAAAGGGACTCTGATAAGAAACAAATTATTCAAGCCTACTCAAATTTCATTTGTATGTGACTATATGAATACTTCTGGCTTCTTTGTAAAAATTATGTCATTAATTAATTAGCTTCAGTAGTTCCACCCCTGCAGTTGTTCCTAGGATGTTGTGTACATGGGGCAAATTCTTTTCCAGAGCTGTATCACCTGCCTGCCATTCACTTCTGTTTTGAAGCATGGTCTCATAAATTTCGGCAATCTGGTCTTGAAATCACGTTATGTAGCAGGCTGACCTTGATCGTGTAATCCTCCTGAGGGAGGTTACAGGCCTGGCTGATAACATTCCCTTATTAAGAAAATTTGATGACTCAGAACAGAACTATCATAGTAGTTATTTGTAGTGATTTATTAATAATGTTTGAGTATATGTTGATTTGTACCCATATCTTCTGTTAATAATTATTTTCAACAAACTTTGGTGGTTTATATTTAGTTTTTACTTTGCACATCTTAGTGTCTTTATTGTCATAGTTAAGATATTTTGCAAATGCTTTTGGAAATATGAGAGCATATTCTTTTTCTGCAAAACAAAGCCCTAAGCTTCTAGATACATGTATATAATGTATATGTGTGTATGTAATTATATATCTATAATTCCTGGGCAAGTTCAGCAGTTTGCTGCTTTTATGTGATAGTCGTATTAAAATTCTATGTTTATGACATTAAAGGACTAAGGCATTTCAGCTGTTAGCAGTATCGTCCCAAAGCCCTTTCTAAGGCTCTTTTACTGAAGTGAAACGATGTGCCAAGTTGCTAATAAATTGATGTGTGTTACTCTTAAAACCTCACTATTTTTGTTGTTTTCTTTTGCCTGCCAAGCTGCCTAATGGTGTCACTTACCATACTGGAACTTACCAAGACCGATTAACAAAGCTACAGGACCATCTTCGCCAACTTTCTATTCTCTTCAGGAAGCTACGGTTGGTCTATGACAAATGTAATGAGAACTGTGGTGGAATGGACCCCATTCCCGTTGAGGTGAGTTTGTGATAGGAGCATGCATGTCAGACGTAAAGTATACTCAGCACATCTGTAATTTTTCCTCTTTCTCCTTTTAGCAGTATTCCTCGTTTTTAATATTATTTGTTTGACTTCTGAGAAGAGATGAAAATGTGAATAGAGATGTGCATTTTTTCATTAATGATTTTTGTAGCATTTGTTTTCCAGGCTTGTAGCAATATTTTGTGTGCTTTGTATTGTGATTTCAATGACAGTGATTTCTTTTATTACTTTAGAAAAAATATTTAGTTATTAGTAGCAATTTTTTTACCATTGCTGAAACAAGTTGTATTTCAGTAGAACTTCATCAAAATGGTAATAGCTACAAGTCAATCAGTCTATAACAATCGATTTAAGGTTGAAAAGGAAGAAATGAGCTGAAGCCAGCAGTTGGAGGTCAGTCTTTGAAGAAATATATATATTAAAAGTGAGAGGCAAGCAGTGACTGGGAGGATGGATGGAATCAAGGGTTGAAAAATTGTCTTCTGCCACCAAATACAAGAGACCAGAACATATGAAAATGATGAAAAGTATATGCAGAGGTAGGAGGAATAAATAAGAGGCAGAAGAGTTAGTTCAAGGCTAGAGTCTGTCTTCAGAGAGTTCTGCAGTAGGAGAGAGTTCTGCAGTAGGAGAGGAGAACTAGAGGGCACTTGTTGATCTGGGTCAGTTATATGTGTGCAAGAATACAAAGCCATTTGCCAGGTGGCCCGTACTGCTTCTTCATTACAATATACAACAGTGGAGACTGGTTGATTCCAAGTGTTGGCCACATTGACAAGGGCTTTCTTCCAGTAAGTGCCATCACAGCCGCACATAATTAACTATGTTTCTGCTAGAGGGGTCATTGCCCTGTAAATTCTTTATCCTATGTAAGAAATTCTCACAACTAAAAGAAATGAAGCCACTGACATTCTGAGTGACATCAGTGACATTTGCATCATAAATGTCCTCTGTTGTGGTGTAAAGGAAGCCTGACTTACTGTGGATAGACTGAATCTATGAGAGCAGGAGCTATATCAGTCTTTCAGTGTTTCCGCCAGCATGTAGCAATTGCATATTTGCTGATTGAATGAATAGATTATTAATTAATATGTGACATCCAGTAGTTTTCTTGAGGGGAAAGTGAGTTTTGTTATTATTGTTGTTTTTAGTTAAGCACAGTAAATTTTATTGGAAAACCAAGGTCTTGTGGAGGTTAATCTTCTTAATTTTTTCTTTAATTTTTGAAATTAGAATATAATTACATCATCTTCCCCTTTCCTTTTCCTCCCTGCATTCCTTCCCATGTACCAACCCCACCCCTGGCCTTGTTTCCTCCCAAATCTGTGCCCTCTGGCCTCTTTCTTTGTTTGCATATATGCTGTTTTGCAGAAGAAAGCGGAAGTCTGGTTCATAGAATACACTGAAATGGTATGCTTTTAAAGCTGTAGTTTCAGGCATTTTCTTGAAAATAATTTATTTTTCAAACATTTAAAATATTTTTAAAATGGATTCTAAGCTAATGTAGTCTCTATAGTAGTCTAATTCACATATTTGCCTCCCACATTATACTTCTCTGCCACTTTCAGCAACTTATTCCATATGTGGATGAAGATGGCTCAAAGAATGACGACCGTGCTGGTCCACCTCGTTTTGCTAGTGAAGAGAGACGAGAAATTGCGGAAGTAAATAAAGTAAGTTATTCGCTGGTACATTTTAGGTTTCAGAGTTCTTGATAAAGATTACTAGGGAACCTAGCATAACTCTAAAACACCTTTTGAATTTTGGAGTTGCCTGCTGTTTGTGTGGCCGTATTTTGAGCAAGGCAAGAAATGAAAGGTAAGCAGGGGTCCTATCTGAAGAGTAGGGAAAGAGCATGGATTTCCCTCCACAAAGCCCTCTGACAGCCCAAGGGGTGCTCAGTCTCAGCCCGTCCGCTTCCCTGAACCGAACTCTACCTTTCTACGTGACAGCAAATGATGAAAACCTACCAGTAGGAAATGTGGCTTCCTCAACCCGTGAGTCAGAAATTACAGGCATTATGACAGCATTATCCTACCTCTGCCCCAAAAGGTTTTCACTCAGAAACATTTATTTGACTTCAGCTAGTTCTCACGAAACAGAACAGTAGAAGAGACTTGGGGATTTATTCTGTCATGGAGATGTGGCCCCCCCCCCCCCCCCCGAAAGCTATTGAACAAGCTCTCAGCCTCACTCTTCCACTGACACGGATGACCCCGTCAGTCACACTCTCTTGATAGTATCTACCAATGTGTTTATACTCAGCTGTATAAAGTTAATTCAGTTCCTGTTCATAATATACAGACTGTCAGTTACCGTGGAAAGCGTTTGCTCTCAGGCAGCTAAAAGCCATTTGATACACTCCGGAACACTTGTGCTGACTCAGTACTTGAAAGAAGAACAAAGCTTCTTGTTCTACCTTTTTTAATTTTTCATAAATAGCCATAGTTTTTATATAAGTAGAGTGTAAAAATATTCCTTTTAAGATGTCATATAATAAAATCTACCGGTGTATCTAATACTCTTGGAGAGGTTATACCCAGTTCAAAAAGATAAGAAATAAGTGCTCAAAAATAGGAGTTATTCACAAGCCTGTTAGCATGCTCACAAAAAACTCACCTGATAAACAAATAGAGTCTATAAAAAGTTCTGTAAAAGAAGAGTTTAATACCCAACTAAAACCATGCAGTTGCAAATGCTGTAAGCCATCATAAGTCTCTTTAAAGCTCTCTTCACAGTTTCAACAAGACTAAGTGGATAGGAATTGTCACAGTAACTAGCCTTGTTAAGATACAGAAAATAATTTTTGAATAATTAAAAAGAACATATAAAGCTCTTGGCAGAGCAGTAAATATTATAAAACTACCAGTCGTAATTACTTCATAATTTTGTGCAGAATAATCCAAATCCTAATAAAATGTAATACGAAAGCATGCAGAAAAGAAAACAAAACAAAAAGGAAGCTCTTAGTACAGTATTACCCAAAAGTGAGTAAAACCAAAATGAGATTTTCTTCTGAAAATATACAAAAGTGTTCTTCAGAAAGCTGATAAATAAGATTAATAATGCAGGATTGTTTACGTCAAAAATTAAAACTAGTGTGAAGCATTTTATAAAGGCATAAATAAGCATGTAATGCTGGCCCAGGAATAAACAGATTGGTAAAGTAATAGCCAAAAAAACAGTTTTGTTGATGAATATGAGAATTTAATATGACAGGAAAGGGATTGTGTGGAAATTTAATTTTAGAAACAGAAAATTGGGGGGAATTAACTAATTTTACACTACTGCATATTAAAATGAATTTCAAAGTTTAGAATTTATTTAAAAATTGGAAAAATAATAAGGGAAAAATGTACTTTAAAATCCAGGAGAAAGGGAGACAGATTGTAACTTTGTAACTTAAGAATGTATTCTTTGAGAATTTTATACAGTATAGTGTAATCATTTTCTTTTCCTCCCCCACCCTCATCTTCTCAGACCTCTCCTCCAATCTCCAAATTCATCTTTTCTTAAAACAAAATAAAAGAAAAAAGCCACTAAAGCCATGGAATCCGATTTTCATTGACCAACTAATCTTTAACATAGGGCCTGCCCTATAGTGTGGTTGATATACTCAGTGTCACACCATTGAAGAAAAAATGATTTTTCCTTTCCCAGCAGCTGTCATTTGCAAGTAGGTTATTGGCCAGGGATTGGACTTTGTGCCTACTGGGTTTTGTCTTGCTTGAGTTTTTATGGGTCTTATACTTGCTGTCATAGTTTCTGTGAGTTCACATATGAACTCACATATGTGCACCTCCCTGTTGTGTCTGGTTAAAGCTGTTTCCTTAAAAATGCGCTAATTTTGGCTCTTATAATCTTTCTGCCTCCCTTTTCACATAGATCTCTGAGACGAGGGGAAGGGTGTGATAAAGGTACTCTATTTAGGGCTACTCCAAATCACTCTATACACTCTATATATTTTTTGTATTAATTACAATCTACTGTAAGAAACTTCTCTGATGAGGGTTAAGTGATATATAAGCTATAGTAGGAAATCATTAGGAGTTTTATTGCTGTGTTCCTTTAGCAGAATAATAATAGTAGGTTTTCTCCTTGACCCATGACCTATCTAGACTCAGATTCTTGGCTCCGTTAATAACGCTGGGTCCTGTCTCATGGTGGGGTCCCCAATCAAAAGGTGGTTGGTTACTCCCCTAGCATTCATGCCATGATTGCAGCAGGGAGCATATACTGTAAGCAGGGCATTACTGTAGCTTACAAAACCTGACTTTTTTTTAACAGTGAGCAGTGATTTAAAAGAATATTTCTAACAAAAATAGAAGAAATTACTATTATGACAAAAAGAAAAAAAAAACTTATAGCAGGAAATTGGAATGAGGAGGGGCCTGTGAATTTAGATCTTGAAATCCTGAAACTGTGTTCATGTATTAAGAATTCTCAGGCTAGAAGTTTTGTTTTGTTTTGTTTTGTTTTTTCAAACAGGTTTTCACCTGCTTAGTTAGAGTCACCCCAATGTATTTTATGTTATTAGTGGCTATTGTGAAGGGTGTTGTTTCCCTGATTTCTTTCTTGGCCCTTTTGTCTTGGGTATATAGGAGGGCTTCTGATTTTTTTTTTTTTTTTTTTTTTTTGAGTTAATTTGTATCCTGCCACTTTGCTGAAGGTGTTTATCAGCTGAAGGAGTTTTCTGGTTGAGTTTTTGGGGTCACTTAGGTATACTATCATATCATCTGCGAATGATGAAACTTTGACTTCTTTCTTTTCGATTTGTATTCCCTTGATCTCCCTTAATTGTCTTATTGCTCTAGATAGGAATTCAAGTACTATGTTGAAGACATATGGAGATAATGGGCAGCCTTGCCTTGTCCCTGATTCAGTGGGATTGATTTAAGTTTCTCTCCATTGAGTTTGATGTTGGCTATAGGCTTGCTGTATATTGCTTTTACTATGTTTAGGTATGTTTCTTGTATCCCTATCTCTCCAAGACTTTAAACATGAATGGGTGTTGGACTTTGTCAAATGCTTTTTTGGCATCTAAGGAGATGATCATGTGGTTTTTCTCCTTCAGTTTCTTTGTGTGATGGATTACAATAATGGATTTCCATATATTGAACCATCCTTGCATGCCTGGGATGAAGCCTACTTGATCATGGTGGATGATATCTTTAATGTGTTCTTGGATTCAGTTTGCAAGTATTTTATTGAGTATCTTTGCATCAGTGTTCATAAGAGAGATTGGTCTGAAGTACTCTTTTTTTTGTTGGATCTTTGTGTGGTTTAGGTATTAAGGTGACTGTGGCTTCATAGAATGAGTTTGGTAATGTTCCTTCTGTTTCTATTTTATGGAATAATTTGGATAGAATTGGAGTTAGCACTCCTTTGAAGGTCTGGTAGAATTCTGCACTGAAACCATCTGGCCCCGGGCTTTTTTTGGAAGGGAGGCTGTTGATGGCTGCTTCAATTTCCTTGGGGGATATAGGACTGTTCAGTCTTTCTACCTGGTCTTGACTTAATTTTGGTACATGGAATCTGTCAAGAAAATTGTCCATTTCTTTTAGATTTTCGAACTTTGTGGCATATAGGCTTTTGTAGTACAACCTAATGATTGTTTGTATTTTCCATTGTCTGTAGTTATGTCCCCCTTTTCATTCTGATTTTGCTGATTTGGATAGTTTCTCTCTGCCTTTTAGTTTGGCTAAGGGTTTGTCTATCTTGTTAATTTTCTCAAAGAACCAGGTCTTCATTTCATTGATTCTTTGAATTGTTTTATTTGTTTCTAATTAGTTGATTTCAGCCCTGAGTTTGGTTATTTCCAGCCATCTGCTCCTCTTGGGTGTTTCTACTTCTTTTTTTTCCCAGGGCTTTCAGTTGTGCCATTAAGTTGTTTGTATGGGATGTCACAAATTTCTTCTTATAGGCACTTAGTGCTATGAGTTTTCCTCTAAGTACTGTTTTCATTGTGTCCCACAAATTTGGGTATGTTGTACTTTCATTTTCATTGAATTCTAGGAAGTCTTTAATTTCTTTCTTTATTTCATCCTTAACCCAGCTGTCATTGAGAAGTAAGTTGTTAAGTTTCCATGTGCATGTAGGCTTTTTGCTATTTCCATTGTTGTTGAGGTCCAGCTTTAGTCCATGGTGGTCAGATAGTATACAGGGAATTATTTCAATCTTCTTGTATCTGTTGAGGCTTTCTTTGTGACCTACTATATGAAGATAAACAAGAAAGAGGTCCAGGGGTAAGATGATCAATCCTCATCTAGAAAGACAAAGGGGATGGACATTGGAAATAGGAGAAAACAAGTAACAGGACAGTAGCCTACCACAGAAGGCACCTGAAAGACTCTAACTAGCAGTGTATCAAAGCAGATGCTGAGACCCATAACCAAACCTTCGGCAGAGTGTAGAAAATCATTTGAAGGAAGGAGGAATTAATATATCCTAGAGGGGACAGGGAGCCCCACAAGGTCCAAATGTATCTGAGCACAGGGGTCTTCTATGAGACTGTTTATCCAACCAAGGACCATTCATGGATAAAACCTACAACCCCTGCTCAGACATAGCCCATGGTAGCTCAGTATCCAAGTGGGTTCCCTAGTAAGGGGGACAGGAATTGTTTCTGACATGAACTCATGAGCTTCCCCTCCCCCCTAAGGGAGGAGTAGCC